GCAGTGCCACCAGCCATTTGCCTTCAGATCCATGCATGCATAGATCTGTGCAGAGTTTGTAAACTCTTAGGCAAGTTAACTCTGCCAAGCCTTGGTAATGATGAGTTAACTGTCAACCATGTTGATTGTTTTGCAATTCTTCTACAGATTACGGGCTGTCATTGTCTTTTCTTACACCATTTATTGTGAATGTTGTGAATGGAGTTCTTTGGTGCCACAAATAAGAGATTTTTGGGTAGAAAGAAAAAAATATGTCCTCCCTAAATCATAAAAGCAGAAGCTGAGCTTGGGGCTCAGTGAAGGGTGGAAGATGGGCCAAGCCCACGAATCTGCAAAGAGCTTGGATGCTGTCCTTGGACACAGTCTGGATGGTCTATTAAAAGTTGTCTCTTATGTCAGTAACTCACATGGGCTGAGCATACTTGTGGGTGAGAGTGCTATAAAGCCTTTTTGTGCTCTTGTGTTTCATGTATTTAATAATAAGAGAGCAATAACACTATAAATAGGAACACCATAGTTGGTAAGGACTGGGGATACAAAGAAGATATCTGGTCTCAGCTATGATAGGAGGGCAAAGAAAAAGGAAAGAAAATATCATCTGAATCAAGCAACTTCTACAGAAGTGCTTCATTAAAATGAGATTTGTACACAACCCATAGGCAGCACAATTGCCTTTTGCAAAGTGAACAGCTAGCAAGCAGGAGTGTGCCTTTTTTGGTCACGTTTTTAAGAGGGTTGAAAAATACGTGCTTAGGTGTTGTGGCTTTTGCAAGTACTGTGAGCCTTTGTACCTTGCTCTTCTATCATGGAGGAAAATTCTTCCTCCTAATCCTGCCCCTGCCCCAACCCTCCTCCCCCTCCCCCCCCGAAAATGTATCAAAACAGAATCAATCAAGGTTTTGTTGCATCTTGCCTAAACCCCACAGAGTAAAGGATAATGAACACACGCTGGAAGGACAGATCTGCTCATTTAATGCAGCCAGCCAGTGTGGTGTTCTGATACAGACTGATAATAGGTTCACAAGTGAGCTTGTCCAGATATTAGCTGAGTGCTTTTGTTCAGGCTTGTTGTGGAAAAGGTAAAGTACAAAAATAAGGGAAGTCTCTTAAGTTTGCACACCAGCAGCCAGCTTGCAACACATTGCTGAAAAAGATGGGCTACATTTGTTCTGAGATATTAAATCCAGGTAACTGAGTGAATTCATGTTTTCTGAATTTACCAGCTGCAGCATAAAGTGACACAGAGGAATAGGTGGGCAACACTTCTCTTAACTGATATATTACCCAAAGGGCTTGCTGTATCAGAGCTTTAGACATATATTCAGTTGCAAGAACTTAAGTAGTTTCATAGCAGACGTTGTAAGCTCACAGGTCTTTATTTATGCAAGTTTTTATCACCTCCCTTGGGCCTAAGTATTTAGCTTTTAGCTGCATGTATTCAAATAAAAGCAAAACTTTTTATTTTTGCATGTTCCTGTGATAATTATGGACTAAGTCAATACTATACAAGAGTGCAAAGGTTAAAACACAGTGCTGGAGACCAACATTCTTGTATTGATGGCAAGGACAATTAAATGCGTGAAGTAACACAGCGCTCCTTGCTCTAGAAGAACATCTAATCTCTCAAAGAACAAAAAAAAAAAGCCCTGTATTTTTATTATCTTCTCAAACAGAGTAAGGTTTTGTTCTTTTTTTTTTTTTTTTTTCCTCCTTAACAAATATCTTCTCTTTTCTTCCAATTTCCTAAAATTTGCATGCTTAGAAAAGTCCAAATAAGCATGCACAACACCTCTCCATTGCAGATAAGAGTGTAAAAGAAAAATGTAGCAGAGTGGTTTTCTTCTGAGAAGTGGTCAGGAATAGCAGGTTGTTTTTCCCCTGAGAAACAGCTAGCAAATTGGAATCTCTGTATATTGTTTTTACACGTTGACCCTTCTCCTGGAGATGTGGCCAAAAACAGCACGCAGAGGGATGGATGACAGCAAGGGTATGTGTTCAGCTGAAGGATTTTCACTGCACATTTCAAGGTTAGAAAATGCTGTTGAACTACAAACAAAAGGGTGAAACTGTTATTTTTCCCAGTTAGTCTTCTGACTGTTTATTACATCAGTGCAATGAATGATAATTGCTAGTAAAGAATACTTAGTTAGGTAGACTATCAGGAAGAGAAACAAGATAAATGTACTATTCAGAAATTTATAGGGGGTCAGTGATTTGTTTTACATGTTTTCTTAGAGAAACATATACAATCCCAGTTCTCAATATTTAGCTATTTTGTCTTTTAATTATTTGTGACTCAAACTTATTTCCTGAGTCCTTGCTCTCTACAGCACTTGTATTAGGGCTGCTCCAAAAGTAATGCCTCCTATTTTGTTATGTTGGCCCACAAAGTCAGAGGCAGATGTTGGTGGTATGGCAGTAGAGACTGAACCTTCTCACCAATATTCCATTACATTTTATTGCCATGTGACAGATGGCAGCAGAGGAGCAGTCTGACAGCATGACTTCTGATATGGAAGTGCACAGGAAACAAAGGTGTGGAACTGAATTCCTCTATGCAGAAAAATGGCACCCATTGACATCCATCAATACTTGCTAAACATTTATGTAGACCAGACGGTGGATGTGACCATAGTGAAGTGATGGGTGATGACAGTGAAGTGGGTTAACTCCACTGTTGTAGAATTTTGTGAGTGCAGCATGCAGGATCCTGTTCATCACTGGTGAAAATACATAGCTAATGGTGGTGGCTGTTTTGAAAAACAATGTTTAATGGCTGAGAATTTTCTCTACCGAATAGTGTTATTTGTTGTATTTTTCACATACATAAATAGGAGCTGTTGCTTTCGGAGTGACGTGTGTCTGTGTATGTAAACAAAAAAATATTATGTTTATCTTTTCATAAAGAAAAGAAGAAAAATGAACTATTAAAGATACAGAGCTTAGCAAACTGAACTTGATTTGATATGTTTGAGCTCTAATTTATGAGGAAGTAGAAATCCAGAAACACATGTACAATTCATGGTTTCAGAAACTGTAATGTTTCAAAATAATTGCTATTAAGGAATGATATATTAAAAAAAAAAAATCCTGTGAGTAGTAATATACCCTCACAAAATCAAAAATTCAGAATGAGGGACCACTGCTACATAACTAAATAGCTACCACTCCCTGCTCCATGAGAGAGAGAATAGACAGACGTTGATGGATGCCTGAAAACTTACCAAGTCCAGGCTGTACTGAATCACTGTGGATCAAGAGCTCTTTGTACAGAGTGTTTGAAACAGAAGGATAAATGGTTCCGAAGCCATAAAGATGCTGGAAATGAAAGCCAGCATCATCAGATAAAATCACCCCACTTAGCAGTCATAAACAGAAATGTTGTGCTAGGATCTTGTACAAATCTTTACTTATGCGATGTCCTCCTGTAATTGTGCTCACAAAAAGTAACTCAATTGAAACAATCTAAATTGAAGGCAACAAATAATTGCTCCAAGGCCTACATCAGAATGTGAAACATGCACTTTTCACTTTAAATGTGTAAAGAGAAAATGCCTCTTGCTTATGATCACCAAGAGGGCATCTGAAAGCAGGCCAGGCTTTAGCACCTTTATAGGTAGGCATCTCTATTTAACTGTTTGAATAACATGTAAACACATGAAAAACATTATTTTCATTAACAGTTGTGTTTTGCCATGGATGATATCTTGGACAAAATTATTTTTGAAGAATGCTATGACAACTTAAAAAAAAAAAACAAAAAAACAGCAACATAAACACACAAACTGTGGAACGTTTTGGACAAGTGCAATTTCTGAAGCTTCTTCAAACCTCAGGGCATTTCCACTAGCAGATAAAGACAATTCCCTCACAAAAAAGTGGATAGGATGTTTATGCCATTCATATGAGGAAATCTGCAGGGGTAAGTTAACTTGGAGAGGAAATTTATTACTGTAATGAAAAAAGATAAATCAAGCATGCGGTTGGGAGAAAGCTTGAATGTGCTTCTTGAACTGGCTTTTGTGCTGGGTTGGATTCGTTGGGTCCTTTTCCTGTGTGACTTCTATATCACATTTAGATACTGATGCAATTTTAAATATAGGACACACGTGGCCATTCAGAGTTTATTTAATGATTTGTCATTGTTTATCAATAAGAGATCTCATAAACACTAAGTGATTTCAGAAGCAGAACCTTCTCTCTGTGCTGCCTGGCATGCAGACAGGCCTGGCCCAAGAAAGACATGGAGTGGCAACACGTTCTGTAGAGTACATGCTCTACTCCACTCCGTCCATCGTGTGCCTATGTGCTCAGATGCCTCATCCATTAGGCCAGCCATCACCTCAGGGGAGCAGCGTGTTCCTCCTGAGCCAAGTTATAAACGAGTTCTTCAGAAATCAGTTAACGCTGCCCTGTCACTGTTATACACAACCAGGCAGGGAGCTCCATCCCACCTGCCAGCTCCATCCCGCTCAGTCCTTGCTGCTGTGCACGCAGCCAGCTCCAAGAGGTGCAGTGAAAGCCTACAAACGCAGAACTTTGCGGTGGAGAAGCTCAGAGCCGTTCACCACCTCATCCAGCCGGTGATGCACGCGGGGCCACGGAACCCGGGCAGGGCAGGGCGTGGCGGGCAGCGCCTTTCTCACACAGCGCCCGGCTCCACCCCGCGCTCCCCTCTGCTCTCAGCGGGGCTCGGGGGCGGGCCGGGCCTACCCTGCCTCCCTCCCGCCCCAACTTTCTCCCTCTCTCCCCGGCGGGGAGGCCGCGAGGGAGGGACGCGAGAAGGGCGGCGCTGCCCCGCTCCCGCCGCCCGGTAGCTGCCGGGAGGGAGATGCTCGCTGTCACTTTCCCTCATCCCCACGCGCCGCCCCCTGCCCTCCCCCCGCGCCCGCCGCCGGCAGTGCCCCGTCCCCCGGCGCCGCGCCGCGCGCTCCTCGCCGGCAGCAGGCAGGGCCGCGCCGCCGCCCGCCCGCCTCGGCCCTCCCGCCCGCTCCCCGGCATGGCCGGGCGCTGAGGGGCGCCGCGCCGCCCCGCCTCGGCTCTGCCCGCCTCTGCCCCGCCGCGGGGCTCGGCTCTGCCCGGCTTCACGCCAATGGTCCAGAGCGACATGGCCAAATCGCCTCCCAGCCCGGCGCAGGAGGTGCCGATGGAGCTGCTGGACAACCCCCTGCCCGCGGCGGCAGCGCAGGTAGGGCGGGGGCGGCGGGGCCCGGCGGCACCGCGGGGCTCGGGAGCCGGGAGGGGCGGCGGGGAGCGGCCGGGGCGCGGCCCTCGGCGCGGGCTCCGCGCTCGGAAAAGTTTGGCACCCGGAGCGCCGCCGGCCCCCGGCGCGCGAGCCGCGAGAAGCCGGCGGCTCTCCGGAGGGTGGGCGGGCGGCACGCGTTGCGCCCGCGCTCGGCGCGCTGTCGGCGACAGGTCCCGGCCGGGCTCCCCGCCGCGGTAACCTGTTGGTGCCGGCCGGGCGGGAGCGGAGGGGCCGCGCGGGTTCCGAGGCGCGGATGGGCGCTCCGGCAGCGGCGGCGCGGCCGCCGCGGGGCTGTCCGAGAGCTCAGGTGGACGGGCGCCGCGGGGAGAGGGCTGCGCTCCGAAAGGTGGTTCCTGCTTAATTGAGGAACGTTGCATAACGCCTTCGAGTTTGCAATAGTTGGCTACAAAGACTTTCGGTGCTATTTTTAAACCCACTCAAAGGGTGGTAAAATCCGATTGCGTGCGTTTTAAATTGCAAACATGCTTGCTCGAGCTCGGAGTTTTTTTCCTTTTGGGGTGGCGGTTTCATTTGCTGCCGCCGAAGCTTTTCCTGACGCTTTATGTCCTCTGAGGCGGTCTGGTGCCATCGCAGGAGTGCCGGATTGTCACGGGAAGGCGCTGCCCGTCTGGCGCAGGAGTCGCTAATTGCTCCGTGGGTGCTGGGAGCGGTGACAGCAGAGCAAAGCCCGGCACTGAAACGCGGCCGCGATGGGGCTGAACAAGTGTCTCTTTGGATGTGGATTTGTCTGCGGTCTCTGAGCGCAGAGCACATTTTGGTAGGGCCGTATGCTTTGCCCCCCTCTCCAGAAACAGTGGCAAAGGAACTCGTTTCTGACCCACACCCTTTTGTATCTTTTCAGCCCTAAGTGCGGAATCGGTGACTGTCAAATCATGATACGTTGGTACTGCAGGTCAAACACTGATCAGAAAGCTGATTTTCACTCTCCACTCCCTTTTCACTAGTTATAAAGAACCTCTGTTTAGAGAGAAAGATGGCTTGCCAACACATACATTATGTGCGATTCAGGTAAAGTACTTCTATTTTATAGAATTGGTTTCTGAACACCTGAAGCCAAAAAGCCAATTTTTAAGATAGTGGTGACACAGCTTTTTGGTTGAGTGAATAATTTTCAGTTTTCAGAACCAGACTGTCAGGCAAGACAAGAATCATCTTCATACATATGTACCCTAGACCTACATAAACCCTTTGGCTGAATAATAACATTCACCTCATTCCTTAGCATGCTCTGTATTGAGAGGCAATTATTCTGACCTGGGTTTTTGCTCCATTAACACGATTTCCAGAAAATCAATATGATAAGATCTTGCTGCTTTAGAAAACACAGTGAGAAGGAGAAGCTTAATGAGAGTGAGTGAATGATCAAGTAGGTTGCCGACAAGTCCTCCAGCTATGCCCACCACTATCTTTTTCACTGAGGTGCTTATGTATCAATCCTAGAAAAATTTCATGCCAAGTAATGCGTCATGTGAGCTTATGGAGTGATATCACTCCTCAAAGTATTCTCTCCGAAGTGCTACTTCTGGTAATTATAGTTAAGCAAAATATAATTGAAGAGCCTCTATATACTTGTAGCAAGCCTCAGGATTTCTCTTACCCAAGAATTTTACTTTTTGCAAAGCTGAGTGTTTCTTTTAATCTGGCTGTACATCGCGGTCGATACCTTGGATTGTGTCCGGCCATCAATTTCAGCCAAACTCATCACTGCTTGGCAGAGGCGTGAATGCATTTAACACTCTGGAAGCAGTTTCTCTTAAGAGATTATGAAATACATGAACTGTTCCTAGATAGTCCTTGCATATAATCTATTTCTTTAGTGTGTTTTTCTAACAAGATCTGTAAAAGGAATAAAATCCCTGCAGGTGTTGATCCTGGCAATCGTACCATGATCTCCCTGGGAAGTTCTTTGCAGTGGGGGAAACTGTTCGTGCTTCTGTGTTACCTAGAACACTGTGTTACTTAAGTATGTAGTTCCGAGTGCTCACTGTGATTCCAGTCGAAGCAGGGTTTGTCGTGTGCTTTTAGCTGTCTGCTATGGCCAGGTGTGTGCATGTGCTGGTAGTGACAGTATTTGCTGTGCTTGTGTCTGTGTCACTGCAAAGTAGCAGTTTTAGGTGTCACCCTTTTGTAATAAACTCAGCATCTGATTTTCAGAAAATGTAAAACAAGCAAACTGTTGAACGGGATCAGTGGTTGATAATCAGTATCTGATTTTTGAAAAATCAAATTAATTACCATCTTGAAATTTTTCTTTCAAAAACCTCTCAGATCTAGAAATCTGAATCCAAATATGTAAATGAAACATCTTAATGAACGTAGATGCTACGGCAATTTGTATATAACCTGTTACAATAGAGCATATTAATGCCTTTCGTGGTGGTTCTCGGTCCTTCTCCTTTTTTTCCCCCTCATTTAATTTTTTTTCTGATCCTGATTCAAAGTCTATCAATCCCCAGGAATCACCAGATGTAATTTTGATTTTCTCATTCCACGACTTCCTGGGCTATGCTATAGGTACAGCCTTTGCACTCAGGTCAGTGAATTACATGGGATATTTCTAAGACAATATAATGAAGCCTCTTAGCAGGCAACAACAGGCTGCCTTGTGGAGGGAGGAGGCATCGTGCCCTGGATGAATTCTTCCCTATTCCCCATTATCATTTTCCTCCTGTTCTCTTCCTTGCCTTCTTATCTATCATCTTGCAGTGCGGGCTGTAACAGCTTGACACATCTGAAATGAAAACAGTTCCCTTCTTAATTGTTTTCTCCAGCTCTTTCACTCGCATTTAGATTTCCTCTGTGGCCCCGTACTGTTCCATGCTCCCCCCTCCCGGCCCAAAGGCTGCTGGAGTGGCTCTTGGCATGGGCAGGGGCTGCCACTGCTCGGGGTACAGCATGGAGTTGGGTCGGGTAGCCTCAAATCCTATTCTGTACTGACCGTGAGTGATGCTCACGGGAATTTTGGAGCAGTGTGCGTTCTGACGATTCGAGAATATCAGTGCAGTTGTGGGCCCTGCCCTTCGCAGATTTCTAGCTGTCTTTTCAGCTGCATGGCACCGTTCCCTCCCGCCTGTCCGGTGGTGATGAGGGCTGAAGGGAGCGGCGATATATTCCCCGCGGATTAATCACACTGCCCTCTGCTGCTCCATTTCAGCTAAGCTGATTTATCGGGATGCACAGCGTTCAAGTGAACGTTTGCAACAGTGTATCTCTCCTGTCTAACTAAAGAGAACGCCTTGGAGGTGACAAACAGACACGATTTGTATCCCTTTTTTCAATCATACAATAGCAACAGCCATTCTCAATACTGGCATAGAAGGCTTTATTCTCTTCTGGCAGCATCCCTGCAAGCCAGATGTGAGAGCAGGACCATATATGAATAAAGAAGAAAAGAAATCAAACTAATAGATTGGGCTTTTTGTGGTCCTGGGTAAGAGGCAGTATTTTCTCTCCTGATGTGGTAGCCTCTTTACAGCATTGCACTCAAAAATACATTTTGATAGTCTTTGACTAAAGAAAGCCCTTCATCTTTCAGCTGTTACTTTTCTGATAATCCTTCTCTGCTTTTAGGGTTTGTTTTGCATTGTCCAAAATCCAGCAGTGACAGGTAAAGATGCATGGTTGTCTCACCCAGAGACATTTCCTTGCCGCTCAGGTGTTGCACATCATCAGCATTTGTGGGCTATAGTTACTGTTTGCTTTTTTTTCTTAACATTTTCCTAGACTGCAAAATCTCTGTGAAGCAATTTAGCATATTCATTCCTAACTTCTGTGCGAGCTAGCCATTTTCTGGAGGCTTTCTCTGTTTTTGTCTTGTTTTGTCACTAGGTTTATAATTTTGAACAGTTGTGGATGAAAAGTTCCTGTACACTTCCAAGCTTGACTTCTCTGGAGTCTCAGTTACTTTTCTTCTGCTGCTTTTTCTCAGTTCTTTTCTGTGCCAGGACAGAAGAGTTTCAAAATAACACAAAGCAACCCAAATCAGCCTTCCTGCCCTGCAGGGCAGAGGGAAACTTTCCATAGGCAGCTGCTGTTCCTGCAAGTCTTTTGCCAAGACAGGTGTATTTTGTGTGTAACAAGAAGAAATAAACTCATGGGGAAGAGAAGGCACATGGTCTGCAACTGTAGTGTCTGATTCTAAAGGCTGAGGGAGGCATGGTTGAGTTTGGGCACAGGCCTCAGTGCCTGCTGATGTTGTGAGCTCAGTTAGGAGCAGACATTGTCAGTGGTGCAGTGGGGAGATGGGCAGCAGAGTTTGACCAATGTGGTGTCCTGAGTCTCTGAAAAGAAGAGAGCAGGTCAGGTCCCCCACCTGCTGTCTGCTGAAGTGGAAACTACTGAATGCCCTGACTTAGGGCCCCAGGGAGAGTGTGGGAGCACAGGGAGCTGGCTCAGAAGTGCATAAACTGGTGAGAACTGGGCTATTTCTGGTGGCAGCACTGGAAAGGCTTTATTGCAGGCCAGCAGAAAGGAGCACCAAATAACTCTCTGCAGAAGTGGTTTCTTTTTAGTGAGAGCAAAAGTGACAGTTGTCAAATATTTATATAGGGATGATGAATGCAAGTTTGGATAAGTAATTTTATTCGTGTTTTGTTGTTGTTTTGTTGGTTAGGTATTAGATTTTAAAGAAGGGCTGTTGAATGGACTTGGCAGCCTCAGCATTTTAACTTGGTGACCATGGAGATCCTCACTTTGATAAGATTTCGCAAGGGATCCCTGGTCTTATCTGTATTGTCATCACTGCAAATGTGTTTTTTTTTTTTTTTTTTTTTTTTTAAGAAATCCAGGTTTTGATACCTAACTTTGGGATTGCTCTCTGCTATGGGAACATGAGTCTGTGCTCTGTAGGCAGCTTCCTCACTGAAGGCGTGTCACAGGGCGAATGTAGGGTGACCTGAAACCCCAGCTCTGGGAACAAGGCC